CGGCCCAACAGATGCTCACATCATAGAAGACGATCACTGATGTCACATAAAAGTGAGTTTTCTGAAAGCAGCGCACACCAGAAAGATGCTTCTGCTTTACTGACAACGCAGGCACTGACTGTGTGGGCCACAGCAAGCCGCACAGCCTTGAGGACAAAGGGAAGCCCAGAACACTCACTGTGCTCGTTGGGAACTTGTACACGGACCAGAGGCAGTTGTGCGAACAGAAAAAGGGAACACTACATGGTTCAAAACGGGGAAAGGTGTGTGTCAGGGTTGTGTCCTCTCAGCATATTTGTTCAAACTGTATGCTGAGCGACTCATCAGAGAGGCTCGATTATACGAAGAAGAATGTGGCATCGGGACTGGAGGAAGGCTTATTAACAACCTGTGATATGCAGATGACACCCTTCTTGCAGGAAAGTAAGGAGGGCGGGAGGCACTTGCTGCTGATGATTAAAGATGGCAGCCTTCAGCGTGGATTACAATCAATGTAGAGGAGCCCCAGATCCTCACAAGTGGACCAATAGAGATCAATGGAGAAAAGGCAGAAGTTGTGAGGATTTTGTCCTACTTGACTCCACGATCAATGCTCATGGAAGAAGCAGTCAAAAGATCAAAAATCCGATTGCATTAGGTAAATCTGCCGCACAAGACCTTTTTAGTGTGTTGAAGAGCAAGGATGTTCCTGAGAGGATTAAGGTGCTCCTGGCCCAAGCCATGGTATTCTCTACTGCATCATCTGCACGTGAAGGCTGGCAATTGGATAAGGCAGGCCACAGTAAATCGACGCGTTTGAACGGTGGTGCTGGAGAAGAACATGGAAAGTCCCACGGACTGCTGAAAGGGCAAACCAATGTATATTGGAATAAGTACGGCGGCCAGAATGCTCCTTAAGAGACAAGGCTGGCAAGACTTCATCTTACATACTTTGGACACGTTGTCAAGAGAAGGACATTGGATAAGATGGGCTGACACAGTGGCTGTATCAATGGGCTAGACATAGGAAGAACTGTGAGGATGGGCAGGACTGCGCTGTGTGTGGTTCAGTTGTGCACAGGGGCAGTATGGGTGAAGCCGACTCGAGGGCACCAAGCAACAACAGTGCAGTGATTTACTTGCTACAGCTCGTTGAGCGCTAGTCTTTGTAACTCCCATGCACAGCTGCGGGGGAACATGCGGTATTTCTTCTTTCCTGAGGAGAAAGTGGGGAAAGATGCTTTCAGGATTCTATGAGTCAGGTGTGCGTGGTTCTTAAGAGGGTTCATGGTGATTGTAACAACTTGGAACTCTTACTAGGGGATTGGTCCACTGTGCCTTGCGGCAAGGTAAGCATGAGCCATCTGGGAGGCAGGGCCAGGAGCTCTCGCTGCGACCAAGAAAGGGCCAGGAGCAGAATGCATCCTACGAACCCCAAGACCCCTGAGTGCTGCACCTTCTCGATCCAGGAGACAGAGAGTTGTGACACCAAAGAAGTGGTAGAGAAGCGGCGGCAGCAAGAGCGCGGCACGATAGGGCTGAGACAGTGGTGGGCTTCGTGACTCACTCACAGCCGCCCGTGTCTTCAGGCAGGCGGCTTGCTTGGGGAGTGGGGATGCCTTTGACCACGGAATTGAGAAAGCCTCGCTTGCTTGACCTAGAGATAGGGGCTTCCAGCTGAGGCTTACAGGGGAGTGGCATGGCCTTTGGGTATTTATCAGTAGTGCTAGGAGTTTTGTAACATTTCTTAAGGGCTGTGTGGCTGAGAGGTCAAGGACCAGAGAAAGGCCTGCCTGTAGGCACAGCTGGGAAAAGGTTATCCGAAGAACTGAGCATTTCTGATTCTCAACTGTGACTTTTTAACTTCCTCTATAAAGCCCACAATTGTGAGTGCTCTCCTGCAAGCTCTGGGTGTCACTGCCTCAGCTTATAGAAGCCAGCAGAGAAACAGAGGATCCTGGGAGGGGCAGATATGCCATCACATCTTTTCTCCTTACCAATTCCGAGACCCACGATTCCCTTCCCCTTGTGAAGACGGAGGTGGTGAGATGTGGCCCCCATGGCATTTTTTACAGAGTGGTGTGGGGAAGATTTGAGCTGTCCACTGGACATATGGAAGTAGGAAAATAATCCTAGACATTAAAAAAAGACACCAGGAAAAGCACTGAAGCATAAGGAATTCACACGCAGGGAACCAGAGGTGGTTCAGTGGCTGGGGTACATCGTGCATGCACAGGGGTGGCCGAGGAAGAAAAATAATGCAAACCCTGTATACCAGCCAAGGAGGAGGCCATGGGAAGCCTCCCCTGAGAACAGGGTCTCCTCCCTGGAGAAGCACATCACCAAGTTGCTTGACTCCAGCCATCTTCTCAAGGAAACCCTATGCCATCAACTCAGTCATTCAACAATGCCACTCCACTTGGTAAGCCCACACTCATTGTCCTGACCAAGATGATTTCTTCACAGCATTAACCATTCTAACTTTTTTCTCCACTAGACTATAGACTCTTTAAGGGCAACTCTGTTTCCAGCCTTGATTCTGGGCGTCCCAGCACAGACTACAGTACGGAGCACAGTACAGACCATGGAATTTCAAAGGCTGCCATTTTAACAAAACTCTGAGCTTTCCTAACTCCACACCTTTGCTCGTATTGTTTCTTCGCTCAGAAGGCCTTCAGATTTGCTCAAAAGCAGCTCCATCCTTCGTGGTCTGTTTTAAAGGCCACTGCTTTGTACGGTTTTCCTCATTGCTGCACACGGAGGGGTATTTTGTCCTTATTTCCTCATGCCAGTCATTCGGGTCCCTCTCACTCTGTCCCCTGTCTACTGGGATCTAGCACACCACGTCTCGCAGCCCCCAGCACGGTGCTCTGGAAGAGGAGGATGGATCCATCATATTTACCACAGTTGAATTCATCATCCCCCTGATCCAAAGGGGGGGGGGGTGTTTTTAAAAGCCCTAGAAGAAACCACACAACAAGATGCAGGCACAAACAACAGAGTGTATGCTGAATCGATTTGTGACCACTTGGCTTGTCTAGGTCTGGTCATTTGCATCACATGATTTCATTTTGCTAGAACTCCAGGAGACTCAGACAAAAAAAAAACAAAAAAAAAAAAAGCCATGGCCTCCCAGTTGCTGCATTCCCAAGTCTGTGGTTTTCCTAGGACATAAACCAGAGTCTGAAGGTCTGGTCTCTGGTAATGTTGGCCAGGGTGGGTCTGGGGGAGAAATGGGTGGTGAGGGGCTGGTGGTGAAGTCTGAGGGAAATCCACCTAATGAACTGACAGTTCATATGAGCAACACCTGGAGTGTTACCCACCCCTACCCCCTAAGGGTTATTGTACTGAAAAAAGAAAGAAAGAAAAACCACATTCTTCTTTGGGTGAATGTACAAATTCTTTCACCAGCTGCACTCCGGTCTCAAGTGTGTGGCAGCTCAGGGCGGATGGCAGCTGGAACGGATCACATTCGGGGCGTCGGGACGGTTCACCAGCAGCCAGGGGAGAATCAGAAGCTACAGAACCAGTCCTCAGAGCCACGTTGCTGCTTTACTTTGAGAATGGATTGCCCTGTTTGCCAGCTCAGAGCATTCCTCTCACAAAGGCGGAGGAGACTGGACGCTCAACCCGAGAGCAGGCTGGCGAAAGGACTCCTTGTGAACAGGAGCAGTCCGGACCCTGCATCCCTCCATCTGACCCCAGGGGCTAAGTTCTGGGTTTGGGCGGTACTTTTTAAAAATATTTGTAATCTGCTGCAAAACCAAATTCAGACCAAATGTCTTCAGACGCCACCTTGCGCCTGCCGCTGCTCCTGACAGGGACAAGGGCACGGAGGTTGGCGGAGCACTTCTCTTGTGTGAGGGCCCCCGGCAGTCACTCTCCTCGAGGCCCACACTCCAGCAACTCTGGGGCAGAAGCTGGGGCCCAGGGAGGTAAAGGGATCCCCCCAAAGAAAAAGGGCCAGGGCTAGGCCTGCCTGCCTCCGAGAGGGCGGTGCTTGCCGTTGCGTTCTGCTATGACCGACAGGATGCCCTGGAGAGGAGTTCTTGCTCCGGAGTTGGTAAGAACACTCGGAGAGTCTGGGACTCCAAAGGAGGGGCCGGCACACGTGTTCCGTACAGGGCCAGAGAGTACATTTTTTAAGGCTTTGTGGGCCATGTGGTCTCCATTATAAATACTTAACTCTGCCGTGGCAGCACAAAAGCAGGCCTAGAACTGCATACATGAATAAGCTCACGTGGGTTGTGATAAAACTTTATTTATGAACCCAGGAAGCAGGCCAGATGTAGCCTATAGGTAACGGTTTGCTGACTGCTATTCTAGAAGGTTCTAGAGCGTGTTACTTGGCTTAGACGTCAATAATGCACTGCCCATCTTCAACTGAACCAAAAGCATGAGCATCTTTATTGCAGATAATACGAAGGCAGAGGGTGGGTCGCCTTAGACATGGTTCACCTACTAAAGGGAATGAAATTCTCTTGGGAAGAGAAGACATGGGCACACAAAAGCCAAATGGTAACTGGAAGCAGCACATGGTCGAAGCCCATAAAACAGGACTAGAGACTGGGGTAGGTCACCGCAGTGTGAGAAAACCAGAGTCCATAATCCTGATCAAATCATCCTGCACTGCCCCAGGGCTCAGACCCGGAGTCCATAATCCTGATCAAATCATCCTGCACTGCCCCAGGGCTCAGAAGAACTGGAGAAGAGTTGGCACAATCGACGACAATCGACGAGAGCGACGTGACTGCTTTCAGGCTAAGAAATACACTCCCTTGGGTGAGACCACATGAAGGTTTCCAGAATGTGTCAGATGCTAATCAAAGACAACATCTCCTTGAGCCTCCTGGTCTCAGCCAACTGGCTGAAAGTACAAGATCAATGGAACGCTTCAGGAGACCCTGGGAGCTATTTTCCATTCTCCTCCCAGAAGGCACTTGAAAACCACCAGCTGGGGCAACAGACAACATCTGGAGTCACTCCTGCCGACGAGTCAGGCGCACTTCCTACCGCCTTACCTTGCTCATAGCAGTCAGGGCAGGATCGCACGCGGCATCAAGATCTTGAACCAACAGCTGGATACTGCTCGAGATGACGCTGCAAATCAAACAGATTGCCACGGCACCCTTAGAAGTGGCGTTCTGAAGGAGTGACACGGCCTTACCCTAATGTTTCAGGTCGCTGCTCATTAGAAAGGCTCAGGTTTCACTTCAAAGGGGAATCCGTGACAACGGAGAGGCCTTCTGCTTTTGTCCACTCCTGCTACCAGCCATGGTCTACTGGAGTGTCCTCACCCAGCCAGGAAACAACATCCCGGGCTAGTCTCCCTGAGGAGCCCTGGTGGTACGACGGTTACGTTCTCAGCTGCTAACAGAAAGATCAGCGTTTGGAACCCACCCAGTTTCTCCTGGGGAGCAAGGGGCGGGGGAGGAGGGAGACACCTGGCCATCTGCTTTGGTAGAGATTGCAGCCGATAGCACCGCGTGTGGGAGCTTTGAAAGCCATGACTAGGAAGCCCCCAAGGTTCTAACTAGGCTCTGCTGTAACTACCCTTTGTTCTAAGCCTCTTGCAATGAGCACATGACATCCCACAAGCAGTTTTACAAAATCTTGCAGGAAGCTTGCCTCTGTGCTGCAAGCTGCACCTGGAGAACCTGCTCTGTCACAGCAGTGTCCTTGACTTGACCCGGCACGAAAACCCACTGACTGGACCCGTTTCATGATACATCTGCACACTGGGGGGAGTGGGAGGGGCTCTGTCCACCAGGACTTCTGGACTAGCAGGCCTTGGCAGCTGGATCTCCCGTTTGAACAGAGGAGGAAACTTCTAGGAACGGGGAGGGCTGGCTATTGCCCTACAACTGGAGCAAGGCCCCCACAAAAGAGCTTCAGGTCTCCTTTCAGGGTGTGTGCTGTCTTCAGGTCACTAGACAGTAAAACTGCCACCATCTGTTTTGCTGGCAATTGGTGTCCTTATTTGATGGGCTAATAGGACAGGTTCAGAACCTGAGGGACGTTCGGCTACAGTTCTGCACTGTCCTGTGAGGGCTCTATGAGTCAAGAGCACCCATAACAACAACGCCACCCTAGGCACAACCCCAGAATCTGTGCTTCTCCCCTAAATGTTTAAATTAGAAGTGGGGAAAGAAGGGGGAAAAATAAGTTATGAGAAGAAAAGAAATGGCCTAAAAGAAGATTTAGATTTTTTTTTTTCTCAGAGATTGACATGAAAGCAAGGATTAGCACGTCCCGGGCTCACTGACTGCTCACGAAACAAAATACTACCCTGCATACTACCTAGGGAGGAAATGTGTCCAGAGGGCTGTACTGCAGGAAGTATCACATCAACCACTTGGATTTAAGACCACTGTCCACCCACCCCGAGACACACCACCCACTAATGCAGTGGTTCTCAACGTTCCTAATCCGTGACCCTTTCATACAGTTCCTCGTGTAGTGGTGACACCGCCCCCAGCCATAAAGTTATTTTCATTGCTACTTCATCACTGTCATTTTGCTACTGTTATGAATTGGGCGACCACGGTGAAAGGGTCGTTTGACTCCCAGGTTGAGAACCGCTGCACTAATGGCTAAAGTTGTGTTCTACAGCACTGGAGGTGGGGCAGGCCCTCTAATGGATTTAGGAAGGGGCCAAAGGGAGTCCATATACCTGATCATCCCGCAGGGAAGGCCAGCGGGGGTTTCTTCCCTTCTTTACTCTGGACAGTGTAAAAACAAAGACCCTCTAAGTAAAAGGAGACCTGCAGCTGTGGACACTTAGTATTGGCCAGTGGAGAATAACGCTAATCCAACAGCACCCTCCATCCCCATCCCCCACCCGCTGTCAGGCTGGTGCCGACAGAACAGAGCAGAACTCTTCCACAGTACTCCCATAGCCGTCGAGCTTTCTGGAGGCAGAGCACCACAGCTTTCTTCCAAGGAGTGGGTTGTAGACCCACACTTCCAACCTGTCAGTCAGCAGCCCAAGGTCTAACCGTGGTGCTACCAGAGCTCCTGTGCTCACCAACAGAAGGCCTTGGAAACCTGTTAGGTTCTATCATGAGCTGAAGTCAACTGCATGGGGGCACGCTGCTTCACCAAGGACTGTGGGCAGGTCTCAAGCGAACACGTGCCGGGTACATACGTGCTGAACGTGTCCATTTCTCCAGTCAGGTTGATGCGCTCCGTCAGGCTTACGTCAACTTTTTCTTTGAGTTTTTCTTCTAGCTATTAGAAAACCAGAGAAACAAATTCACATTCAATGACTCTCTCCCTAGAAGCACGATAATGATAGCAATTCACATGGACTGTGTTGGATGATTCAGACCCACTTCTAAGCACTTTTCATGTATTGACTCATTAATTGCCTCATCTTTGACCAAGAGCCGATTCATGCTGGCTCCTGTCTTAGTTTCCGAGGACGGCTGTAATGAGTTAACCACACACTTCACAGCTTCCAACAACAGAAATGCACTCTCCAGTTATGGAGCCCCAAGTCCACAACCAAGGTGTCAGCAGGGTCGGGTCCTCGGGAGGTGCTGAGAGAGCACCCACTTCAGGCCGCGCTCTCAGCTTTGGCGGGATGCGGGCAGTCTTTGGTATCGTCCTTGACTGGCAGACTCACCACTCCCGGCACTGCCGCTGCCTGCCACAGGCTTTCTTCCCTGTGTCTGTCTGTCTGTGCGTCAGCCTGCCTCTCTTGATTCTTCTAGGAGCACCAGTTATTGGGTTTAGGGCCCGCTATCATCGTAGGACGTAGATGCTGCCATTTGGGGGGACGGAATTCAACCTACTACAGCTCAACAAAAAGGAAAGAAAACCGGCAAGAAGATGACTGACACGTGGCTGCAGCGACAGGCTTACAGATAACAATCGTGAGGATGGTGCGCACCGACAGGGTGGCCCCGCACAACGACACGGCACCCAGTTCTTTGGAGAAGGCCCTTGGATCCCATTCCTGCCTTTTGCAGGATATAATGTTCCCTGTTGTACATTTTCTGCTTGTAAAGTGGGGAGACTCAGAGTACCACGAGTTGCAACCGAACCTAACTTCAAACGGGATAATGATTAGTATCAGCTCATAACTGATTCCTGTGAGAGGGCTCAGACATATTTCCACTTTCTAATCTTTCAACCAAGACTAACATCAGCCATCCCTCCCAAGGCACTCTTTTTCTCTTGGGTTTGGTGATTCTTTACAACGGCCACACAGAAGTCACAGACAGTTCAGGGATGTGTTAAAGAAACAAGGAGAGGCATGGAGGCAGGGTGGCTTCCATGCAGGGTGGCTTTCTCGGCGTCTCCGCAGCAGGCAGGCCTCCTCTCCAACCCCTTCAAACTCCTCTTGGCCCTAATGTCTATGACGGTTTGTTCTCTGGGCCTTCCATGGTGTAGTCCTTGACCCAAGCTACAGCCCTTTCCAGAGGTCCCCTGCTTCTCCCTTCTGCTTCTCTTCCTGCTTCTTGTTGTCTCAAAAAAAAACCTGTGGGCGTGGCTGCTTATAATCAATTTCAAGGCATGGGCCTCCCACCAGGGCCACAAAGATGCCAATCCTTTTAGGTAGGCCATGGTGAGCTGGAGTCTAGGGACAGAAAAAAAGATCACACCCAAGCTGTGCAGAATTAATCCAGGAAATATCAATCAACCTGGATAAAAGTAAGAAGCTCTCCAGGCTAGAAAATTAGGGCAAAACTAGGGTAAGCAAACGCCTCGGGGTTTACAAGGGAGATCTCTCAGGTTGTTTTCCCAAAAATCAAGGAAAAGTCCACATACATTTCACCACACTACCCCAGACCGGAAGTTAGTAATTTCTCAGGAATCTCTGGTTCCTCTCAGTGGGAAATACTATTTAAAGTGTGCAATAAAGGTGCTAGAAATGGGTTTACACTTCAGTCAGTAAAAGCAATTTTTATTAGGAAAAAAACTGGCTATGTGTATCATGAGCCATCAAAAATGATCTCAAATCTACTATTCTAGATATCCCAGAACTTCTTAGAACCTGTTGGAGAAAAACCATGCAAAATAGATAAGCTGCTGTATCCAGAAAGGATGTACAAAAGCAAAAATATAAAGCGGCATAAGAATGACCAAGGACACGGTTATGTAACAGATGGTAGCATGGTTTCATGGAAATGCTTACATAGCGTCTCCCCATCAAAGAACTCCGAGAACTCTGAGACCCCTGCCTGAAAGGTACTGCCTGATACCAGCACCCTGCCCTGAGCGTTCTCAGGACCGAGTGGATTGCTGCCCCTGGCTCAAGGGCCAGATCTGAGAAGGCATTCCCTGTGCTCGGTGACCACATCTCCAAAGCGTGCTACTGCCTCCCCCTCTGCGCGGCGTTCCCCTGCCTCGGGAGTCCTTGGAGACCCCCTACCAGGCGTCCTCAAACTGTAGCCCACGGGCCACATGCAGCCCAAGGACATTTATCCGGCCCACCGGGTGTTTTTGCCCCCTTTGTTTTTTTACTTCAAAATAAGATACGTGCAGTGTGCATAGGAATTTGTTCATAGTTTTTTTTTAAACTATAGTCCAGCCCTCCAACGGGTCTGAGAGACAGTGAGCTGGCCCCGTTAAAAAAGTTGGAGGACCCCTGCCCTAGACTCTTGCACTGGCTCCTGGCAGCTGTGAGGTAGACTGAATAAACGATCGTGTATGAGGGTCTTCCTATGGTCTAAGAGGCCTTGGTGGCACGGAGTTACTATAAGCCGGAACTGACTCAATGGCAGTGGGTTTTGGGGTCCTATGATCTAGATACGGGCAAATAATAAATGCAAAGGGGAGAACGAGCCTTCCAAATTAGCTTCTCTCAATGCGAAAAGGAACTTGTAATCCCTCGTCGAACGCTGAGAAGAAAGTTATTCTGGGTCTTCCTTCTGCTAAACCCGTTCACTGAACTCCTGCCACTTGGGGGTTCAGAAGAGGCATCACCCTTTCCTGCTTCCCAGTTCCTGAACGTCAGCACCCCAAACAATGGCTACTTGTTTGGGCAGACTGAGAACGCTTAGCAGATTTCAGGAGCCGTAAAAATGCAATGGAATGTGCTTAGCTTAGTAACAGCCTGGCGAGTGGAAAACTGGCTGTGCCTCATGACCACCAAAGGCTGGGTGCCCGAACCATGAAGTCTGTTCCTGCTTTCCTCGTACAGGCGGCAGTGCTACTGACCTCCTGTGCAGAGGCCACGCCCTTGAAGCGGCTTACACAACTCCGAGGAGGAGGCCAGTCAGCCTTTCTTGTCTAGTCTTCTTTGTAGCAAGGCCCTTCCGTAAGACGGCTGCCTGGACAGCCTGATGGCTGGAGAGCAAGATTTCCTCTGTGGGAGGCTAACAGGCCTGCCAGGGGTTGATGCCTGTGCTCTTGTTAGGGCCCATTACCTACTGAGCTAAGCAGCCCGAATGGTTCCGGAAGGAGAGGTGGTGAGTGGACAGGCCAGGGCGGCTCACCTGCTGGGTGGTGGCCAGACAGTACTCTGCTGTGCTCAGGAGGCTGCAGATGAGGCAGAGCTCCTCTAGGGTGAACTTGGCCACTTCAGAGCCCTCCTTTTCCTTGAGGAGGCTGCTGATGGTCAGCCCTCCACTGCTGCTGGTGGTTCTGAGGAACAAGAGCAGGCACCCGTCAGGCTGGCCCTTCTAACTGGCTTCCGCACATCTTAAGACAAAGACATAAGGGGAAAGGCCAGGCTGGACACGGCCCAAATCAATCCACACACAATGAGCCCTCTTCCTACTGACCTGACCTTGACTCTCATCTGGTTAAATTCTGACCATCAGGAAGGGGGAGAGACCGTTCCAAGAGTCAGCCAGGAATCAGTCATCGTACAGCCAATGACTTGGAAACTCAGAGAAGGTTGCCCCTCTCAACTTGGAATTTCCTGGCTTGTAGAACTCATTTAGAATCATCGCTAGCACCAAAGCTAGTTCCTCAACTCTTTGGCTCCTTTAAGAAAGCCATGCCCCCTTTTTCTCCCTTCCCGGCCATCTTGGCGGCTGCTCTCGGTTGGGCCGTCCGCACCTAAGACAGGAAGATGGTGGAAAAAGTCGCTGGAGTCCATCAACTCGAGGCTCCAACTCGTTATGAAAAGTGGGAAGTACATGTTGGGCTACAAGCAGACGCTGAAGATGATGACGCAAGGCAAAGCGAAACTGGTCATCCTGGCCAACAACTGCCCGGCCTTGAGGAAATCAGAAATTGAGTACTACGCCATGTTGGCCAAAACTGGTGTCCATCACTACAGCGGCCACAACATCGAGTTGGGCACGGCATGCGGCAAGTACTACAGGGTGTGCATGCTGGCCATCATCGACCCAGGGGATGCGGACATCATTAGAAGCATGCCAGAACAGACTGGTGAAAAATAAATCCTGTAATATTTTTCTTAATCAAACTGGCCAGAGCTTGTTTAAAAAAAGAAAGAAAGAAAGAAAGCCCTGGCCCCGGGCAGAAGCATCTATGTTTTACTTCCAGAGGGACCCCGAAGTACATGTTGAGTGAGGCAAGGCTCCTGTCCAAAGCCCGGTGGCCCAAGAACCAGAAAGCAATGCATGTCTCTTGGAGCTATCTAAAACTTCCTGCTACTTCTAATTTTTGAAATGGAAATCAATGACATTTACCTTAAAAAAAATCTCCTTTAAAAAAGAACAGACCTTCAAATGATCTACTTATACCGGTAACCAAGGATTTGAAACGACTCCCATTTCCAGCACTCATAAGGGTGGGAGGAACCGAGAGCTCTCTCTCTGTGCCTCGCTGTCACTGTGTGTCGTTGAGCCGACATGGATCCACAGTGACTCCTGAGGGCCGTGCAGAACGGCCCAGTGGGGGTTCCCGGGCTGTCATCTTTATGGGAGTGGCCTCCCAGGTCTTTTATCCCCTAGAGTGGCTGATGGCTTCCAACTGCCAGGTTTGGGGCTCCTCACACTGACTTACAAAGCCACCATAAAAAGACTCATGGCCATTATCAATTGCAACTCACAGTGATCCTCTAGGCCAGAGTAGAATTGTCCCATGAGAATCTAAGGCTGTGAAACCTCACGGAAGCGGGCTGCCTCATCATTCTCCCATGAAGTCGTGGGTGGGTTTGAACTGACAACCTCTCAGAAGCCAAACCCTTGAACTGTTGGCCACAAGGGCTCCTACTAAGGGGTACCAAACAGTACCTCCTCTCTGGAGTGAGTTTTGGCAGTGTTTCAAAAGCTTTAAAAAGAGGTCACGTTCTTTGATCTAGTAGTTCTATTTCTGCTCAAAGATACTTATCAAGGTTGTAAAATACTAAAGTAAATGAGCCGAGTCTAAAGGGTCAATTTTAAGAGAAGGATTAAGTACATGGAGGTACTTCTTCTGTATGTTGTGTTACCATGGTTATTGATGTTAATGTTAGCGAGCCTCGATCTAAGGAGCCCTGGTGGCTCAGTGAGTTTAATGTTGGACTGCTAATATAAGGCTGGTAGTTCAAGTCCATTAATATATCCACAGAAGAAAAATAAGGCTGTTTATTCCTGTACGCATGTATAGGCTTGGCGACCGTACATAAGGCTGCTATGAACTGGAACCGACGTAATGGCAGTGGTTTTAGATGCTCTTTCTAACAGCCCTGGTGATAGAGTGGGTTATGCAATGGGCTGATGAATGTAAGGCCTGTCGTTCAAGCCCCCCAGTCACTCCAAGGAAGAAAGATGAGACTGTGCTCCTATCCTGGTTCAGAAGTTTTATAGAGTAAAACTCTCTTCCTAGTAGGGTCACTATGAGTTGGAATGGACAGGGTGGCGGTGGGTTCACCTCTAATCTGCCTTCCCGATCCTCCTCTGCTCTTCTCCCCCTTTCCCAGGGTGCTGAAGGCTGACTCCTACACTACTGTCAGCAGGCTCTCTTGCTCTGACTTGCTGTTGGCTTGGTCAATGGGAGAACCCTGCAGGAAGTCAGCGAGGTGAAGAAAGAGAAATCGGAGTAGTGGGCAGTCCTTCTGCCTCCAAGATGGGATACTTCAGCACCCTCTGACAGCTCCCTTCACACTGCCTCCCGTGTGTGAGTAATCCCGTTGCTACCCAAATCCCAGCTGGGTATGCCATTTGCTTCCTGCTAAGACCCGGACCACCCTCCTGGGAAAGTGCCGAGGCTGAAGGAGAGCAGCAGCGGGTAAAGCACCAGCAGTTACAGGCCCAATTCTGTCCCAAATGGACACAGCAGCATATACCAAACGTAGGGAAATGAGCACTGCGGGGAGGAAAGGGAGAGGTAAGTGCTTTGGTTTGGGTTTCCCGTGAGGGTTGGTGTTTTCTAAGCTATAATGGACTTGTGTTATTTTGACAAGCAGGACTAAAGGCATTCAAAATGACTGGTGAGTTTGCATCATCGTCAAAGAACGTCTCGTTGTAAAGCACGGCCATCATCTGAAGTCCCTGTCAGAGCGGGGCTTTATCTTCTTCCCCTCAGTGTTCTGGGAAGCCGCCACAAGAGACAGGTCAGTGCTGAAGAGAGGAAGGGCCTCCGCACTGCTGAGCTTGCCAGAGGTGAATTGTAAAGACAACATTATGACTTTTAAGCCCAAATCGCCATACAGCCCTAGTCAGAGGACCTGCTTTCAAATAATAATATCACATGCCCCAAAGCCCCTGTGATTAGGAGCTGTGCTGGGCATCCCTCTTCCCACCTCCCCACCGCAACTTTTCCACCATCAGCACAGTAAGGGGCACACAGCAGCAGAGAGGCTCTGGAACCGAAGCTGACAGGAGGGAAAGCATCTTGGTGCCTCCCATCTAAATGGCACCCCAGGGCAGGTGCTCACGGAATGGCTTGAATGAAATGGCCCAGGCTATTGACTAGCTATTTCCAACAGCCCCTGCTTTTCTTCTGATTGCGCCACGTCCCTTGAGTTGAGTCACATAAATTAAATGCACACAGAATGGGACTGACTCCCACGGCTAGGTCCTCGAATGCACTCCCGCAGCTGTGGGGTCCCAGAGAGAGGAAATCGGTTTGGACTCTTAGGAATTCAATGAAGGGTGTTTTCCTCCCAGATGCTCTTAGCAGTTCAGTAAACACTTCATAGTGGCTCTCCTTACAGACTCTTCCGTCACCACTCAGAGCACCAAGAACGGGACTCACTTGGGCAGGTTGCCAGAGAGGATTTTCCAGGCGTATTCCCGGAGGTACTTCTGGAAAATGGTGGTCAGCGCGATCATTGGTTCCCCAGTGCTGAGCTGGGAGCACTGCACCATGCACTTCTTGTAGTAGACAAAGAGGTCGGCGCAGCTGGGGAGCACAGCCCCACCTTCGTCGGTGTTGGGCTTCGGGAGCCCCTGGGTTTTGAAATCAGCCACAAAGCGGTCTATCAGCTCGCCAAGGTTTCTAGGGGGAAGAAAACAGAAAAATATGAATTCAAAAACACAAAGTCAAGGTGCTTGTTTGCACGGCATGCAAACATTGCCATAGTCGATAATTTCTAATTATTATTTTTTAATTTAAAGTTGGACCCAATGTTACCAATATCATGACCGGCACCCATCACCACTCCTCCTACAGTAACAGCAGGAATGAAAATTGGCATTTCACATTTATATATGCTAGGGTTACTCGTTGGGCTGCCAACTGCAACGTCAGCAGTTCAAATCCACCAGTCTCTCCTTGGAAGAAAGATGAGGCTTTCTATGTCTGTAAAGGTTTACACCGTTGGAAACCCACAGGGGCAGTTCTACTCTGTCCTATGGGGTCACTATGAGTTGGAATCAACTAGATGGCAGTGAAAGGAGCCCTGGTAGTACAGTGGTTATGGATCCACCTTCAATCCACAAGGTCACCAGTTTGAAACCATCAGCCGTTCTGAGGGAGAAAGACTAGGCTTTCTACTCCAATAAAAATTTAGTCTCAGAAATTCCCAGGGGGCAGTTCTACTCTGTCCTATAAGGTCACTATGAGTCGCCATCAACTCGATGACAGTGAAGTTAGTACACATTCACATATTTCAATTTCTATATTATGAATGTATTATGTAATACAAAGCATTACACAATTACATTTGATCCCAGGCCACTGTGAAGGAGACAAGGTATCACTGACCCCTCAAATAGTTGTCACAAAATTTAGTGGCAGAGTTAAGTCTAGAATTTACCATTTGTCTAAATAAGTACATTGGTCCTATTACCACATCCATGCCACTTCCCTTAATAGGAACGAGAGCGGTCATTTTCTGAACACTTAACCGCATCCCAGGTACTGTGTCAGTGCTTGGAGAGCAACATATTATATTAGAGCTTAAAATCGAAGCACTGGGTTTGCAAACGGTTATGGGACGCAGTGGCAGCCCAAAGTCCATTTGCAGGGTTTCCACATAGAGTAAGCCCCGCTGAATTCTTTCTGGTCTTTAACCACGGCTGTAGACAATCTCGCGCTCAGGCAGAGTGCCTTGGGAAATGGATGCCCTCCACCTCTCCCCAGCCAGGGAGGGCAGTCTCTCTCAGGGATTCGCCCGAGTGTGTCCTTGATGGAGATCTACAACTGACTGGGAACAATGCAGGGGTCCAACAGTCATGAGTCATGAGTAAGTCTGTCAGTCTCGCCCTGACTGCGTTGGTCTCCAGGACCAATCGTGTAGCCCCTGCTATTGAACATACCGTGCGTGTTCCAGTCATGGCCCTGTCCCAGCTTCAGAAGTCATATCTGTAACTGTGCTGCATTGATCTGTCACCAATCATGAATTTGTGACAGGTGCTTTGTTCATACATATTTAACTAGGGACCCAACTGTGAATCCTCGGATGCCACCTTGACCTCCTGCTAAGGGCCTCCCTCATCTGGATGATGTGTCCACGTCTTTCTGCGCGTCTTTGTCTCACTTAAGACTTCATAAATAGTCTCAGTTATTTGAGACTGGGGTCTCTCTTGTCCCCTGAAACGAGGACCCTAGACCTCCGTGAAGCTGTGGCTGTGTCGGAGCTGCGGGCAGGTCTCCCTCGGCCACACGCGGCTCATTTCCTGCGCTATCTCTGGCGGTGCTCTCCTGCTTCCACTGGGTTTTCCGTAGCCGCCACGGCTGCCATGCTCTCCATAGTCTTCAGTGGCTCACTCCTCGGAAGCGGGCAGCCTGGTCCTTCTCTGTCGTCTGTGCTTGGTCTGGACGCTCTGCTGACACCTGTTCACTTTGGGCGACCCTCCTCATATTTGAAATACCAGTGACATCGTTTTCAGTACCACAGCAATACAAGCCATCACAGTCTGACAAACCGACAGACCTAAATGAGAAGTAGGGTTTGTTTGTTTGTTTTTGAAGTAAGTATTATTATTATTCTCACTTGCAAAAAGCCAGGTCCAGAAAAGCTAAGCACTTTGTCAAAGGTCATACAACAAGGAAGTGGAGGAGCCGGACTGAAAACCAAGCAGGCTGGCTCTCAACTGCACGTTCTTCACCACCTTGCTATCCCAAAACCAGGCCACACTCACTGCCAGCAAGTCCGTCCTGGCTCGTAACGACCCTACAGGACAGGGCAGAACTGCCCCCGTGAGTTTCGGAGACTGACAATCTTTACGGAAGTAGAAAGCCCCATCTTTCTCCTGCAGAGTGGCTGATGGTTTGGAATAGCTGACCTTGCAGTTAGCAGCCCAACCTGTAACCACTAAGCACCAGGGCTCCCATACTACTTCTGAAAACACAAAAGGGTTATAGGTATCGTGAACCTAAATGTGTCCGCTAGACAGGGAGCAAGTGGAAAGAGAGAATCTAGCACTTTCCTTCTCCTTTAATGGAGTCGGTCTTTGTTGCTGTTTTTGCCAAAGGTGTAAAAAGTCTTTGGGAAAGAGAAGGTCTAGGCAGCTCCAGGCTTGCCCAGTTCACAGGCATGATGATGGCTACAGTGGTCCTCCCCTCTCCCATTCAGACATCATGGACGTTGCCTCTGCCTGGTGAGTCAGCACTGGTAAAATCTAGCCGCCCTCCTCGCTGTCCTCTCAACAGTTGCGCTGCATGAGAAATGGGAGGAGTCCCCATCACGCCTGACATTTTGCATCTTTGAGGCTCCTGTCTGAGGCTATAGGACCCCAGCTGTGCTATTAAAATGTATTTATATAACAGTCAGGAAGAAAAAGGCAAGAACCACACACAGCATCAATTAGCAGGATGAGGAGTAACTTGACATTTTACTCAAGAGCATTTGTTATGGAAAGTTGATTATAACCAGATGTGCGAGTCTGCCCTCGGAACTGCAGGCCTACTCCAGGTCCTTTGTCTGCGGGGATGGGCAGGAAGCAGGAAGGGCCTCAGTACTGACCCCGGAAAGCTCCCTGGTCACCACTCTCACTCTGCACCGCCTCTTCCCCTCACTGCTCCCTGGCTCTCCCACCTAGCCTCCACACTGCTCCTGGGCTCCTCCGCCCGTGCCCTGCGTGGGTGCCTCCCCTCCACCTCTACCCCCATCCACCTGAGCAACTCCTGGCCCTCACCGTGAACACACACTGTCTGGTTTAGCACTTCCCTTGGCCGTGAGGAACACATACGTGCTCTCAACAAAGGGACCAGAGAGGAGGACGCTGCTTGGTAAAGCAGAAGGGCAGTGAAGGTGGAAGAAGCCCCTCAGTGAGATGGACTGACACGGTGCTGCAAGCCCAGGCTCAAACATACCCCAGGGAGGCGGGCACAGGCCAGGCAAGCTTTCCTGCGGATGTGCCCGGGGTCCTGTGCATGAGAACGGACGTGACGGCACGAACAACCACAACACACCACGTATGTGCCAAATATGCAGGAAGGTCCATTCTGGACTAGCCAGCAAGTGATGTTTTTTCACTGATCCTCCATGAGATTTCAGACTCCTGCCGGTCACCTCTGATCAAGCGAAGCTGTGCAAAAGGTGGAAGCTGCAGGCGCAGACCTCTCCCGCGTCCATTGTCATCCGCCCCTCAGAGCAGGGACACTGTGTTTGCCAAAGGCCCGCCCTCCATGCATCTGTGTGAGGCTCATCTCCATGTCCCCATTCCATACCTACTCATCGGACCAACCCACACATTCTGCTCCTAGGGCACGGGGGTCGAGGAGTGGAAGGCAGAGATGGGCAGGGGCTGGTATGGTGGGGGAGAGCACCACTTGAGTGTATACGTGAGATATTCTCATCTGCAAACCACTCAGGCTGTGGCTGAAACAGAGCCAGAGCACTGAAGGGTTTTCACTTCCATCACCCATCTATTCCCCGAGAGGCTGGAGGCAGGACTTACTCACGGATTTCTTATTCCAGCACCCACTGGGTGAGTAAGATTATAAATGAGTTATGACTGCAGAACAGAAGGAAAATTTCAACTTTGAAAAAGAATACTCTAAAATTCTTCCATGTTTTGGAGAACATCTACCAGGCAGCTTAAAAAAATTTTTTTTTTTTTTTTGCAAGGCCAATGATTTATTCATTGCTACCAGGTTACTGTTGATAGTATTCTCTGGAGCAGATGAGAAAAGAACCAGTCAAGGTACCTCTCCCTTCCTATAGTTTCTACTCCTTACAGGATGCTTCTGCCCCTTACAAAACCTTAAGACAAGGAGAAACCAACATTTTACAAGGTCCGCAGTTCAAAACCGCCAGCCCCTCCATAGCAGAGAGTAGAGGCTCTCTATGCTCATAATGAATCACAGTCTCGCAAGCCCACAGGCGCAGTCCAACCGGGTCTAATAGGGTCGCTATGAGTTGGAATAGGCTCGTTGGCACTGAATTTGGTTTAGTTGTTTGTTCTTCTTGTTGTTATTATTGAAAGACAAGTGGTGTACAGTGAACTTTCAAAAAACAGGGAGCGGGCGTACCTGTATGAGACAGAAATGAGCTTAACGTGAAAAGAGGCAAAGGTGGTCATTTCTGCCAGGTACCAAACCCTACCCTCAATGTTGGTGAAACCTCCTTCTAAGACCAGAGGAGCTATATGGTCCTAATGACCTGTGCCTGAAATCACAAGAAGGCACTAAAAGCTTATCAAGGGTCAGGTCATGATCTACATACTATAGAAGGTAAAAATGCCTAGTAGAAGCTTTTGATTTCGAGGGGGAGATAGGACCTACAAGCTTATAATAACCTTTAGATGCCAAGACAGCCACTCAGTCCCTACAACATGGCGGCATGGTGTAAATCATGGGAACCGAGGAAGTGCAGAGACGGTTCGGTGAAGGTGCGAGTCAGGAGTGAGCAGTCTGGTGTGGGAGGCAGACCGGCAGGGAAGGAGAAGAGGGCCTGGCTGAGGTGGAAGAGGGAAAATGAGAAAAGGTTGGCCGCTGGTTTGATGTCTTTTTCCTTAAAACTATCACAATCTTCTATTTTTCATTTTTTGGTTTATTTCTCCCACTAGGTCTACAACCAGGCACTATTCTTGGGGGCATTAGAAATACAA